TGTGTGTGTGTGTGTATAGGAAAAAAAAAAATGAAAGGGTATGAACCAAAATGTTACCAATTTTTCTATTTGAGTGGGAGGATATAGGTGAGTCTTCTTTCTCCTTTGTATGTTTCTTCATTTTCTAATTTTTCTATAATGTATATTTTATGTGTTATCATAAATAAACAATAAATGTTATTAAAAGTACAAATACAGAAATGAATATGACAATAGTCATTATCTTCATGAAGTTTAAGCCCATTGCCGTCAAGTCAATTCCGACTCACAGCGACCCTATAGGACAGAGTAGAACTGCCCCATAGGGTTTCCGAGGTGCAGCTGGTGGATTCAAACCGCCGACCTTTTGGTTAGGAGCCAGGCTCTTAACCACTGCACCACCAGGGCTCCATCATGAAGTTTAGTGAGCGACAAAATAATACAAGGAGTCCTTGGGTGGTGCAAACTGTTAATGCCCTCAGCTGTTAACCAAAAGGTTGGTGATTCAGGTCCACCCCATAGGCACCTTGGAAGAAAGGTGCCTTCAGAAAGTGTTGTACTTGTGAAAAATCAGCCATTGAAAACCCTAAGGAGCACAGTTCTACTTTGACACCCATGGGGTTGCCATCAGTATGAGTAGACTCGGCAGCAACTGGTTAAGTATTAAGTATGATTTGTCAGTCTTGGGTCCAGAAAGCCCACATGGGGTTGGATAATGCAGGAGCAAAACCATGAGGTCTCATATTTTGCCTCTGCCATTTACTGCCTGTAGAATGAGATGGTGCGTGTAGACTAAGCACCAAAACAAAAAACCAAACTCATTGCCATCAAGTCGATACCGACTCATAGACACCCTACAGGACAGAGTAGAACTGCCCCATAGAGTTTCCAAGGAGTGGCTGGTGGATTTGAACTGCCAACCTTTTGGTTAGCAGCCAAGCTCTTCAGCACTATGCCACAGTGCCTGGGATTTACGTACCACCATTTGTGGCACACTGGGCCCTCAGATGGTAATGGGGGAAAAAAAAAACTATTGCCATCGAGCTGACTCCAGCTTGTGGTGAACCCCAGGTGTGTCAGAGCAGAACTGTGCTTCATGAGGTTTTCAAGGCTGATTTTTCAGAAGTAGATCACCAGACCTTTCTTCCAAGGCAGCTCTGAGTGGACTCAAACCTCCAGCCTTTAGGTTAGCAGCTAATCGCGTTAACCATTTGCCCCACCCAGGGACTGCTGTGGGGAAGGGAGCGTATATGAAGCCAGAGAGGTTTGGGAGGATGGATGTGTGAAATGGAAAAGTGGGCAGTGAAGGGAAGATGTGGCGAACCAACTCCTGCGGGGAGAAATGATAGGAAGTTCCATAAAGCATGGGAGGTGACACTTCTGGAGCAGAATATTGGGGCAGGGAGGTTGATGCCAGAGGTGTCACAGGGGCCCAGGGAAGAAGAGCAGGACAGGCTTTGAGGAAAAGGGGATGGAACTCCGGTGGTCTGTTGGAGAGCCTGGAAGCTCTGCAGGGTAAAACATGACCCTTGACTTGGGAGCTTTGGATCCCCTTCTTTGGTTTTTAGTTTTGATGACCTCCAAACTCCCTCTAAATCTAACATTCTATCATTTTAAGAAGGAACAATAGCTCATACTTATTGGTGAGTAATGTGCAGCCAGGTGTTTTATTTGTGTTGTATGATGTCTTACCAAGAGACGAACCAAACCAAACCTGTTGCTGCTGAGTTGATGCCAACTCATAGCAACACTGTAGGACGGAGTAGAACAGCCCCAGAGGGTTTCCAAGGAGCGGCTGGTGGATTTGAACTGCTGACCTTTTGGTTAGCAGCTAAGCTCTTAACCACTGCACCACCAGAGCCCCATACCAAGAGACAGGCCCTGGTATAACGCATAAATAAATAAAGATGTACATGTTGGAAGAGACTCCCAGGAATGGCAGCCCCAACTCTACACGAGGGGAATGAATGACTTCTTGTTGTTGGTTGCCATCAAGTCTATCCCGACTCATGGCGACCCCATGTGTTGTGGAGTAGAACTGCTCCATAGGGTTCTCTTCGCTGTAATCTTAATAGGAGCAGATCACCAGACCTGTTTTCCCATGCTCCTGCTGGGTGGATTCGAACTGCCAACTTTTAGGTTAGCAGTCGAGCGCAAACTATTGGCTCCACCCAGGGGCCTAAAAGACTTATGCAGCCTAATGAATTTAGCCCTGAAAATACAGACATGACTTGCAACCCTCGTCATGGAAACTTCACATGAGTTTTGTTGGTGAGAGTTCTGTCCTGTCTTGTTTAGACAGTGTTCTCATAAAGTAACAAACAGCATGTGCCTGCTGTCCCCAGAGACCTATGAGAAAATTAAGTGATTGTCTTGTGACACAGTCTCCATGTTCAAGTTTTTCAAGTCCAAGAGAGTTCAGCTGCCCTGCAATGGTCATTGAAACAATTTGGTAAGAGAGTTTTAGAAGCATCAGTGAAGGAAAAATAGCCTTCATTTCCTCTAGTAGTTAAAATAGACAAAGGAGTCGGGAGAGAGCCAGAGAGAATGTGACAGCTCTCTGGGAAAACCAAAATCATAAGCTTTAATTCAGTAATTTCAAAAATAGCCATTGGAAGGTGTCTATTTTCAATGGAGACTACTCCCTTCAGGGGGTGTTGGGGAGGAAGACTGTTTGCAAAAGCAATCTTTTTTAAGTTTTGTCCCTTTTAAAGCTTAGTCCTTGTCCTGGGTTTGTGTGGATCCTCACATTCTTTTTTTCTTTCTCTGGAATTCCATAGACAGTAATGAAGGAACTGGAGGCCAGCAAGAGGTCAGGGAGCCTTTATTAGTGAAAACCAGGATTGTTTGCCATGTACAACACTCCCTTTTTTCCTTGTGGTGAATAGGAGATTTGCTTAGAGCTGATGACTTATGCCTTTCTTACAAGTTATGCAGCTAGCGAGTAACTAGGGAATCAGTCAGCAAGCAGAAAGAAGCTAATTGAATCCAGTGTCCTCACTTTCTTCTCCTTGGGATACTAAGCTGTGACGGTGGAGCCTGTCTGATCATGTAACTCCAGAGGAGCATGTCGGAAAAGCGCCCGGTCCTAACTTAACGATTACAGACTTGACAGAACAAGAAGGAAGACGCTCTCCGAGTGGGGAGGGGCGGGGGGCGCTGGATATTTGCAAAATTGTCCCTTAGGCCTGCTAAATGCCGAAACCGGTAAGTCGCTGAGTGTGTTCAATGTGAATGGAAAAGATGGGTTTTCTGTGGCTTCTAGAAACAGCTTTTTGAATGCTCCTGGCTGGGTTGTTTCTCTCTTTTCTTCTCAAATTCCTCTAGATTTGTTTCTTCCTTTACTTCCGTGTTTTGCAACCCTGAGCACTCTTTCCTAGCATGATCACCCAATAATAACGGATAGCTTTTGCAGAATAGTGAATATTATTTTGAGAAAAAAGGAAAAGAGAGAGCGACAGAGAACGAGTGTCGATAAGAAATTGCAGCTCAGTTTGAATCACAGAGGCTTTTAGTTGGAGGGCTTGCACTCAGCCTTTCAGATGGCTTTTCATACGCCTGCAGCTGACTTGCTTCCTTCTGTTAACTTCTTCTTAAGACGAATGCCATTGACAAAGTGGACCAAGGGAATGGAAGTGTATATGTCTGATTATGAGTAGATTCACAAGAGACAATTGTGTGAATTTCAAAAGCAAATGCGTTTGCACTTCCAAAATACTTTCAGAAATGCTTGAATATCTTATAGCGTTACGTGCACAGCTCTGGGGGAGATAAGTTGATTTAGTTTTAGTCTGGTTGTTAATTGTGGCAGCGTGTTAAATGTTTGGAGCTGGGGGGAGCAAGCTGAATGAGTGTGTTCCTAAGGGCACAGTTGCAGTCCTGTGCTTGGCGTGGTCTCAAGCAGTCCCCAGAAGGGTTCTAGTTGCTCTTTGCACGTTCTGTTTAACCGTTGTTACTGCGCGTTACTACGGAGCCTGGAGGACTGTGTCCTATGGCTTTTGAAAAGCATTTGCTCTGGTGCATTCTAATTCCAGGACCTGTTTGTTAGAGGGTAAAGTGAAGTATCTGTTACTGACCAGCAGTGACAGGCTTAAGGAGAGCAATGAGGGGGCATGCATTTAGTTGGCTCAAGCGTACAGACCTTTGCATTTACAGATGCTATTAATTTTGCTCCTTTTTTCTGACTGTCCTTAATGTAGCTGTGTTGTAAAGAGACTTCCACGTTGGCTCCATGTCTTTCCTATTAGAACACTGCAGATGTGTCAAGGATGCACTTGTTCCAAAAGAAGCTGGGAAGGGAGGGAGGAGGCTCCACCCTCCTTCCCAGGCCAAATGGGCCCCATAGGTTCCTCATTCAGCACCCTGGCAGCCAAAGGGTACGCTATCTCTTTAAAGCAGCTATAGTTTGTGCCTTGGCTTGGTCAATTTGTTATGGTTTAAAACTGTGGAGCCAGCTGTCTGCAATCTGATGTAATGTTGCCGTGGAAACCAGAAATGAAACACTTAAGCATTCACCACAGAGTTATTACATATAGCATTAGTCAAAGTAATTCAAAGTTGAGCCATATGGGCTTTCTGGTGGAAAAATCTGCAGTAGAGATGCTGGGAATCAAATGTTTCTGTTTACAATCCCGTAAATCTACTTTTTTACATCCTTGTCTGTACCTTGCCTTTTTCTCTGTTAACGGTTTGGAGGTGGGGGATTTATGCAGATGATGGAGTTCACCTTCTGGTTTAGAAGACGATCAAGTTAAAGACTGTTTGAGTCTATTTGAGGGGTGGGGCAGGCAGGGGACAAGACACCATCTCATGTTCAAATATGCATGAACATATACCTTTGTTTTTTCGTTTTAGTTTCTTTAAAACCTCTTCTATAATAGTTCTGAGCCTATTTCTTGAAATCATTCATTTATTTTATATAGAATGCAGAGTGTGTTCATCTTCTACCATGTTCCACTAGGTGGGAAGAGTTCTTTAGAAACATAATGATATTTCAATTAAAATATTTAAAAATTATATATTTGTTATGTTTCCTAATTTTTAAAACAAATTTCCCATACCCTTACCTCTGGGTGTATTTGCTGAATAGAAAAATCACCATGTGTTATTTACAGCATTGGGGAAGCGATGCATGGTTATTTAAAAGGAGAAACGTGAAATGAGGAATTTAAGCCTTTTTCCCCAGTTTAAGAGAAACGTATGCCTTTTAAAGCATCTTTATATTAAAACAACTGGAGAGATTTTTTTAAAGGCAAATATTTCACGACTCTTTTTTCCCTCTAGACGTGGGAGGAAGTGAGAAGTCAACACTTTTCCATCAGTAAAAAGCATCCTGGTGATGCATTGTTAAACTCAAGGGGCTTCTAGATTGAGTTAACAGGAAACTTTATATTAAAATATATATATATATACACGTACACATATTTCTTGAAGAACTTTGCTTTTGTCTCACACTGTCCATCATGTAGGTTGTGCTGCTTCTGTTTTACCTGGTGTCCAAAACATGAAAACGCAGAGACAGTTCTTGATCGCCATGATTTGTGAATGGTAAACACCTCCAAAACTTGCTTGCTTTTTTTTTTAAAAAAAGAAAAATAAAAGTAACGTCAGTTCCAACTTCTAAAGAGCTCGTGTTTCTCAAAAATAGATGGACCATGTGAAAGCAATGAAATAAGTGCCTGGAATATGCTGTTTTTTCACTACAGTGAATTTGAGCAGAGGAAAGTAGGGTTTTGTGAGGTGGCCATTATCTTTAAATGTGTTGTCTTGATTTGATTATTTCAGTATCGCCCTGATAAGTTCACTCTTCTGGCACACATTTCTAACTTATGATTCGTGTCTTTGCGGACTAAGATTTTTGTACTACCTCTTTCTACATGCCATTTCTCTTTCTACTTCACCCTCTGCCTACCACACACCAAACACACCAATACCACCACCACCACCAACAGCCAGCAAAGTAGGTCTGAGGTATTCATACATCAGTGGTTTTCATCCTGTCATGTAGCTTACTGTGTCTTGATTATAAATAATCTGGGCTTATTTCATTTTCACTTGAATTCAAAATGGTAAATGTGAAAATTATAGACATATTCTAAGTTTGTCCTATTAGTGTGCACACCAACTACTGTAATATAATGTTGATCCTTCTTCAGTTAGAATTGCTTGGCAAAAGATTTTTGAATGTTTACGTGTAATTCCATGCACTGTGGGTTATTCAGGTGATGATTACCCAGAATGAGGGTTAACCAATTTCTCATTCCTCTGGTTGACCACTCTGACTATTTCATCATACATCAACAATTCAACCAAGTAAAAATGAAATTCAAACCAAAGAATACATTGTTTATTAGCAGCTGTACTTATCTTTTTTTTAATTTTAAGTTTGAGAAGACAAACACATTAAGCCTAATGGCCAGCAAGCAGTGCAACCTCCTTTCCCCATTATCTGAGATGTTCAGTTTTTACTCTTCATTATCTAGGAATCAGTGTGGGGGGAAAAAAAAAAAAAACCCTAAGCCCATGGCCATCAAGTTGATTCTGACTCATGACAACTCCATGTGTGCAGAATATTACTGCTCCATTGAGTGTTCCTGGCTGTAACCTTTACACAAGCAGATCACCAGGCCTTTCTTCTACAGCACTTCTGTATGGGTTCGAACTGACAAAATTAGCAGTCGAGCAAAATTAGTAGTTGAACAAAATTGTTTGCACACCCAAGTGTAATTAACCTTAAGTTTGAAATGTGCATGTAATATTTTATCTAGGAACTTTTGAGAAATTAGGACATACATATTGTTACAATTTACAGAAGGGGAGATTGAGAAATATCCCTGTCCCAAAGACTGCCAATTATAGGTTTATAATAATTATTCATCAGTGAGTGAAATTGTTTTGCTCATAGTCATGCGGAGACACAGTACAATGGCTCTGTGCCATTAGCTACAGGTTAGGGGACCACAAAAAAAAAAAAGCAAACAATTTCCGTTGAGTCAGTTTCAACTACGGTGGCCCCATATACTTCAGAGTAGAATTGTGATCCATGCAGTTTTCAAGGCTATGGCCTTTCAGAAGCAGATCGCCAGGCCTTTCTTCCGAGGCTCCTCTGGGTGGGTTCGAACCCCAACCTTTCAGTTAATAGTCGAGTGCTTAACTGTTTGTGCCACCTAGAGACTCACAGGTTGGGGACAGAGTCCAGAAAATGGGTTGTATTTATCCTTTCCAGAGTTCCATAGTGCTAAGAAAATATTTATGAACTCCACAGCATGCACCGTTTTCATGTCTAAGTTATTACTGTAATCTCTACCTCCTCTTGTACTGTCTTTGCTAACTTTTGCTTGCCTCTTTTTTGTCTATAAAATTGGGATTCATGAGAGTTCATTGGGGAAAAAGTCTCCACGTTAGACTCATGTTCAGAGATGTGGTTTTGTTTTGTTTATGTGAGGCATTTCTCTCCCAGTGCTTTCAGTGAACTAGGCTTGAGGAAGTGGAGAGGAGATGGTTGTCAGGATGTGAAGGATTAGCTGGCATTGGTCGTGAACTGCACAGGGTGTGCGAGGCTGCGCGTTCCCGCCGGGCTCCGCGCTCCAGGAATGCCACAGCTCCGGCCCGTGCAGCAGGCGCTCTGGGTTGGCTACTTCTTTTGCGTTTCCACATTTTGAACAGATAAAGTATAGGAAGCAGCGTATTGAATGTTGGAGCCAACTTGGAAGCAAAACTCTCATTTTATTCACAAGGCAAGGATTGTTTTAGCCTGGGTCACTGCTGCCGGGAGAGAATTTTTTCTCTCTCTGTAATGTTTGATACTTGAGGGAAAACAGCTGGGCCTGAGCATACTGGAATCGCTGCAAAACGGAATGGGATGCTGGGGAATATGGACTGTACTGTATGGCTGAAAAGGTCAGCTTTTTCCCTTGTCCCTCTCGGAGGAATGCAGGCTGTGTCCTCAGGCTCGCCTCATGAGCTCTCCGAAAGAGGCGGAAGGGATGGCTGTGATGTGGCAGACGGTTCCTAGCAAATGGGATAGAAGCAGGCTTTTTGCATCTCTTCCCCTTTCCTGCCTGGCTGTTTTTGATTTTGGGGAGAACTGGAAAAAGTCAACAGTTTCGGTTTGGAGAAGCAGTTGATCACCACTTTAAACAGCAAGTCCTGATAGGCCAGACAGATGAGAGCCTGGCCCAAACCACAGCAGCATAACTGGAATTACCGGGCGGCCTGGGAGAGTCCGCCGGAGTCACGCTGAAAGAGGACATGGAAGTAGTTGAGACAAATTGCACCCCACGCAGGTCCAGGGCCAGGATGCGCGTTTTGGTGCCTAGGACCTAGTTCTGCACCGAATTAGACGTTATGATGGTATGTGGAGCTTCGTAAACCTGTTGGGGCAATTTGGTGGTACCCCAGGTTCAGCTGTACAACTGCCCAGGTGCAGACGGGCAGCAAGGCTGGGTTCCACCAGCTGCCAGGGGAAGTGCAGGAGCGATTATCTGATTAACTTTCCCTTTGTTTCTTTGCCAGTCAAGAGAACAATCGGATGATGAAACCGAGGAGTCGGTGAAGTTTAAGAGGTTGCACAAGCTGGTAAACTCCACTCGCAGAGTGAGAAAGAAACTAATTAGGGTGGAAGAGATGAAAAAGCCCAGCACTGAAGGTAAAAGAGCCACCTCCACCCTGACTATTCCACGTTAAATCATTTGGGGGCAGTTTTTCAATAGAAAACGAATATGATTTCCAGTGGAAAACAGATTGAGTTCTGGGTGAGGCTGATGGAGAGAACTGTGTTTGCATGCCAGCAGGGCAATGCTCGGCCCATTGTGGAAGGAAGCATCCTGAAGCAAAGCCGTTCTGGAGTGCTTAGTAGTTTCACTGTTACAAAGCTGGAAAATGACTAATACGTTGCAGCGAAATCTTCTCAAGGTGTGGCACAGCTTTAATTTTGAGCTTATACCATTTTTTATAAACTTCATATTATGATTTCCTTTTAGTGTAAGCCTCTGCCCCTAAACAGAACTATGAGTTCATGCTCAGGGAATTTAGTCCACATTTGATATACATCCATCTTGAATGAACATCTAACAACTGAGGCACTTATAATGTCCTTTCAAATCTCAGAGGGATCATTTGTTCTTCCAGTAAACAGTCTCAAGTCTCCATTAAAGGGGGCTTTAAGCACCTTCTATTCTAAGTGGACCTCTGAGAACTGTATTGCTGTCTAAGCCACTTGTCAGAGGAAACAATAATGTCCAAAGAGGCATGAGCTCGGATCTACTGTAATGAAGAGTTAACCTTTGAAATATAATTATGTCAGTTTAAGACTCAACCTATTCATCTCTCTTATTGTTGGTAATGTGCCTTTGCAGCCCATTGTAAAATCCTCCCAAAAAGATAAAATAAAAGAATAATATTTTCCTGTTTGGAAGTGTTAATAAGTGAATTGGAGAAAATATATTTTTTAAGCACATTACTTGTTAAAATATCACATCTGCATGGTAAGGAATTACAAATTTTTAACATGCAGATTTAAAAATTATCATTGTAGAAGCCTTTTTTGTTGTACAGAAATAAAACCAAGCAGTGTAAAAGAACTGTACTGCCCCCTAATTTGCAAAGATGAGGGTTTCTTGTGTTTATTATTACTGTCTTTGATTTGTATTGTTGTTATTATCTGTCAGTTTAAAACTCCTAGAGGAATATTGAAGGTGAGGGGTTTCTTGTGGGAGAGTGGAGGTTGGAAAGGAGAAGAGAGAAAAGAGAAAGAGGTCTGCTTTGTGGCGGGTTTTGTAAACTTAAGAGTTGTGTTTAATCGCAGGGCTTCATTTGGGTGTCATTTTCCATGGTAGTTCAGCTTACGTTTGGGTGAAATGCTGATTTGACATTGGGATGTTTTAGTACCTGCCTGTCAGTCAGTCACGTTTTTCCACAGTATTGATCTGACCTCTCTGCCCTCCCCGTGGCAGCTCTTACTGAGGTCACACACAGTGTCCATTGATAACCTCAGGCTGGATCATGAATTGCTGGTGCTCAACCTTGGGGACACATTTTCAAACAAACCTCATACACACTTGCCAAAATTAAAATGTGCAAATAGCAAACAGATTGATGGATCCTTTTCCATAATGAAGAGAAAATGGGTGAAGTGCTTTGTGGAGGACCTACCACCTGGAGGCATTCCGTACATGATGGTCATGGGTGGTGGGGCAACCTTTCCACCCAAATACATTTTTAAAAATAAAGAAATGTTATAATTTGCATATTTATATCAGAGTAAATCAATGCAACTATTTCTGAGAGGCATAGTTGGAAAAAAAAAAAAAAACATGCCAAGAGAAGTGGCTTTAGGTAAAAAGTAATAACCACATGGACCTCTAGCTCTGAACTGTAATTCATCTGGGTGTGGATTAGGGTTCACACGTGAAAGATGGATTTAATGAACTTGAGTCCCAAGTTACACCTCTAGTGTCTGTGAATCAGGGTCGGAGCGCTGGGGTGCCCTTGGCCAGGCTTGTCTGCATCGCCATGAGGACCCAAGGAGGTTCATGCAGCTCAGAGCATGTGCTTCAGGCTGCTCCCCAGCACTCGGCTACATTGGAAACTGCCTCCACCCTGGTGGAGCCAGGCCAGGTGCAGTTCTTCACCCAGGCTCTCCTTGCAGCAGGGCTTCAAGTCCTTATCCTGGGCAGAGATGCCCTTGGGCAAAATGAAACAGCAGTCCACATGTGCCCTTCATCATCTAGCTTCTCTGAGGTTCCCCATTAGCAAAGGTACTGTTACTGGGGAGAGGGTAACCTAACCTCAGCTTCTGCAAAGCAGGAAGTATTCATACTGCCACTAGCCCCTCCTGCCTCCTGCCCTCAAACTTACAAAGAGTTGATCCTTTAGATTTCCTGCATGCCTATGCCAGTACTACGTTGTCTGAATGATAATGAACTGTTCTTTTTTTTTTTTTTTTTTTGGTCAAAATACTTTTTATTAATTGTACTTTAGATGAAGATTTACAGAATTAACTAGCTTCTCATTAAACAGTATATATATTGTTTTATGATATTGGTTAACAACCCCATGACAACTCAGTACTCTCCCTTCTCCACCTTGGGTTCCCTATTACCAGCTTTCGTATCCCCTCCTGCCCTCTAGACCTAGTCCTTGCCCCTGGGCTGGTGTGACCCTTTAGTCTCATTTTGTCCTATGGGTCTGTCTAATCTTTGGCTAAAAGATGGGCCTCCACAGTGACTTCATTACTGAGCTAAAAGGATGTCCAGGGTCTATACTCTTCAGAGTTTCTCCAGTCTCTGTCAGGCCAGTAAGTCTGGTCTTTCTTTGAGTTAGAATTTTGTTCTACATTTTTCTCCAGCTCTGAAAAACCCTCTATTGTGATCCCTGTCAGAGCAGTCAGTGGTGGTAGCTGGGTACCATCTAGTTGTACTGGACTCAGTCTGATGGAGGCCGTGGTAGTTGTGGTCTGTTAGTCCTTTGGACTAATCTTTTCCTTGTGTCTTTAGTTTTCTTCATTTTCTCTTGCTCCCGAAGGGGTGGGACCAGTGGAGTATCTTAGATGGCTGCTCACAGGCTTTTAAGACCCCAGACGCTACTAACCAAAGTAGAATGTAGAACATTTTCTTTATAAACTATGTTATGCC